ATGGCCAACTGCATTGGTTAGCTTTCCCACCCGACACCAGCAGTTTAAAGGAGGAAAGGCTTATCAAGACTCAAGGTTTGAGTGGATTCAGTCCATGGTCAGCTGGCTCCAAGGCAGAAATATCACGGTGGAATGGTGTGGCATAACAAAGCCACTTAGTCCTTGGCTACTTATAAGCAGAGCAGGGAAACAGTGCCAGCAAGGAAAAGGCCAGAGAATAGAAACAGTATATGTTATGGTTTGGATCTAAACTAACCCTTCATGTGCTCATACATAGGGCTTTGAAAGGTGACTAAATCTTGGGGTGTATGGCTGACTTGCTGTTAGGAGGCATGATCTGGTTGGAAGAGTCAGGTCACTGGGTGGTGAGGAGGGAGGTGGCCCTGACGATATAACTCCCTTCCCATCTTTTCATCTCTCTCTCTGCTACCTGCGTGCCATGATGTGAGTAGCTCCCCCGCCCACCAGTCCCTCTGCCATGCCATTTTGCCCTGGAGAAGCTGACTACAGACTGTAACCATAAACCAACATAAATTCCTCCTCCTTTTAAGTGGTAGATGTCAGGTATTGTGTCCCAGAGATGAGAAAGTACTAAGACAGTATCCAAACCATACTCCATGACCTCCCAGGCCCACCTGAAATATGCTTTACTGATCCCCTGAGCAACTCCCAAACCAATCAAGTTGACAAGTTTAACCATCACACTGTTACTCCACATCATCTCCCCCATGTCTGTGTCTGTGTTCAAATGTTCCCTTTATATAATCAGACATATCGGATTAAGACCTACTCTACTTACCTGACTTTACCTCAATTACTTTGGTACACTTTCCTCCAAAGGAGAGCACACTCTGAGGCTCAGGAAAATAGAATTCTGATGCATAAATTGGGGATCAGAGCACATTTCAACTGGTAAGAATAACAACCCTGAATTACTTTTTATTGGATGAATTAAACCCATGTGTAGGTACAAATATGATCAATCGGGATTTTTAAAAATATTTTGCTACTTTAATTATGTTCTACTTCCTGTTTTGATGATTTTTAAAAAATATTTTAGGGTGGACTGGGGATTTAGCTCAGTGGTTCCGCCACCTGCCTTGCAAGCACAAGGTCCAGAGTTAGATCCCCAGTACCAAAAAGAATGAGGGTTTATTTTATTTTCTTTCCTTTCATGTATAATTTCTGTTTGGGTGTTTACCCATATTATTATAATTCTCTTCTATGTTTTCCATCTTTAATGTTTTAGTATATGTGCTGCCAAAGCAAGCACTGTTTTCCATCTTTAAAAACACTAGAGGAGCAGCATTTACAAATAGCACCATTTTGCCTTCCCTTCTCCCTCTTTTGCCAACCAGTACTAGCCAATAATATTGTCTTTCTTAGAGTTTAATCTTATATTGGCAAATATGCTTGTACCTCTAACTGATTTGCTAGCTTCACTGATAATCTGACTGACTCCCACCCTCAGAGATTATGCAGTCAGTGAATTGCCCTACTACCCGTCTTCATTCCCTCTTCCCTTGGTTAGCTGTATCATTTCCACTTTGTGGTAATATATGATGTTAACTTTTGTTCTGTTATCAATCCTAATTTTCTTTCTTTTTTAGTTTTACAGTGTAAGTGTATTCAAAACTCATGAGCCTTCCCAGTGATCTCTTAGTCAGCTAAAATTAATGATTTGATAGTCTCCTCCAAAAAGAAGAGAAGGAGGGAAGAAAAAAATTGGGGGAAATCTGCCCACAACTTTTAAATATAGTCTAATGTGTATGATTTCCCTGGATCATGAAACTTGGCTTTAGCACTCTTATCTATATTTTTTGTTTGTTTGTTTTGTTTTTTGAAACAGGATACATCTCCCTCGAAACTTAAGCTAACATAAAATAAATAAATAAATAAATAAAAATAAATTTAAGCCAACATAAATTCAGGCTGGCCTTGAATTCACTATGTAGCCTCAGATGGCCTCAAACGTGAAGTGATCCTCCTGCCTCAGCTTTCTGAGTGCTGGACTACAAGCACGTGTCAGAACGCCCGGTGTGAGCCAATATATATTCTTACCCCCACAGCTTTAGAAATAACTTCAATAAGTGGGGTAATTGATGTCACAGATATACACAAATAATATGGGGAGAGAATCTCAAATGCCAGAAAGTGTATATACCTTGATAATTCTGGATATAAAAGACATACACTAAAAAATAGTCACTAAAGACAAACAGCCATTCTGTCCATTTGAATGGGTCTGACAACCCACAGTCATGGATCTTTAGTGTCATCCGAAGGCTACAGCACCATAATCCCTGGAAATACGATGCAGCGACCTGTGGCTAGAGCCTCTCTGCAGCCTAGAGAGGCTAAGAGACTGCCGAAGGCCCCAACACTGAGGAGGAGGAGAGCAGATACCTGATACAAACCCAGGTTCAAATGACTCAAACATCAAAGCCTCTAATTCTTTTCTGTTAGAGGGAGGCTTTCTAAAATGTCTGTAAGACTCTAGATTTAGGGCAGAAAGGCAAGAGAGACTACAGACAAACTGGTGATATCTCAAAAGAATACAGGGCTGGGAGTGGAGTTCCATGGAGGAATGCAGCTTAGAGTGCATATGGCCCTGGGTCCAACCAGCATAAAGAAAGGGAGGAAGGGAGAGTGACGGGGGTTGGGGAGTTGATTCTGCCAAGAATATAAAGGCTTTTAAATTTATTACTAACGTCACACCCCGATCTGGACACAGAGGGCACAATGCCCGTGGCGGTCACTCACCCACTATGGGTCAGGACAGCGGGCTGTGGACGGGGACAGGCTGCATCGACATCTCTGCTCTCCTGGCCAGGCCCCAGTCACAGGGCGGGGCCTCAGCAGCTGTGAGAGGCTGCCCTGCTCTGTGAGTAACTCAGCAAACAGCAACACCGAGTGTGCTAAGAAGGGAGAAGCTTTTGTGTGTCTGAACAAGAGCTCATACAATTTTAATTCTGCACGAGGCCCCACAAACTATGTGGCCCTTCCTGTATATATTAGATTTAAGGGTTTTTGAAGGCAGAGCCCTACACAGTTGGAGGAGATAACCACGCCTTTACTCGAAGGGCAACTTGGAACTGCGGCCAAGGCCGGATACTGGACTGTCACCCAAATACCCACAGACATATCTGAGCTCCCCAAGTCCTGCCCTTCCTATTCCACTGAACCAACCTGTCACATTTTACATCACCAAGAAGAATGGAGAACTACAAAGAATATGAGGAAAAACAACTCTGACTTTTGCTGCATTTATATTTAAAACACGAGGTTTCTGTTTTAATCATGTGAAAAATTCCAAAGGAATCACCTTGGAAACTAAAAGACTCTGATTATTAAAATTAGCTAGAAGCAAATAATCGCTGGAGCAGTTGCTCTGGCTGCAAAACCTTTTAATTACCTTTTTAGGGGAAATTTCCCTAGAAACTTGTGATAAATATTAGGCAGGGAAAATACAATGTCCACTTTGGGGTTTTTAAAGAGAGACATAAAATTCATTTTCTTAGTCATTTAGAATAATGTGTGCTTAATTCATTAAAAGAAAATACAAGTATATTGTCATCACATTAAAAAATGAACCTTATAGAGCATATCCTTAACATACACAAGCCTTGGGTTCAATTCCCAATACCAAAAGGAATAAAACGAAACAAACAAAAAAGCCTCTGAAAATTCCCTATACATCTGCTTTTATGAGAGGAAAGAAAGTATTTTACTGTAATAAATTGGTACAATAGTGAAAATGTGGAGGTTTTATTCCTGATTTTTTTTTTAATACCATGGGATATGTGTTCCTTTGGGTTGGATCCTCAAACCATCCCAGGAAATGCCAAAAGAGCTTTTCCTAAAATTCCATTCATTCTTCTCCTCTTCCTTGAAAAGACGTAAAAAAACATAATGGGTACTTTCTTGTACTTTTCCAGTAAAAAAATAGCATCTTTTTAAAAAGGAAGGACAACCTTACGGAATTTGGCCAACATAAAGACAATAAAATCACACAATAAAATAAAGACAATAAAATAGTAGCTGAATTCATAGTTGTCACAGTACTAATGGCTAGCATCACAAATATCCAAAGACAACAGAATTTGCTTAACATTGTTAAATCATATCTCAGAAGCCAGGGTGATGCTTCCAGAAAAATAAAAGGGCAAATGCAGCATTAAATATATAAACACAAGATACTTCTCAGAAAATGCCACACTTGTCCAGCGAGGACTAAGATAAGATCCACATGAGATCTGTAAGAGTGAGAGTGAGAGCCACAGTCGCTCTGACTGCTTCATGTGGCCTGGGATCCAGGGCTCCCGACTTCTCACTTCCTCCTCTCCTTCCGTTCCTAAGGCGATACGGCACCTGCTTAGGGTGAGGAGGAGGGCAAGGAGGCGGGCTTTCCTCCCCACCCCTCCTCCCACTCATAGTGTGGACTTCAACTCCCACCACACTGAGTATCTCTTTTATTCAACACGGGGAAGCTATCCCTTCACTTTTAACTTTCTTGGCCTGAATTCTTCATTCCTTATATTCAACTCTTCTTTTTCAATGATCTTTCCATTGTTCTTTACATTTGCCTCTTTATCCCAATTCCTAGAATGCACAATGCTATAAGCAAACAGGTCACATAAATCATATCTCTTCATTCTTCACAGTCACCTCCAAAAGTCCTACCCAGGACTTACCTGTATCACTTTGGGTCACCTGAAAATACAGTGGCACTCAATTAGCGTAACCACTGTCTAACCATGACTTTTTCACAGACAAGCTTCTAAAATCAATGCAAGAGTAAACCTGCAGGTCTGAAACAAGCCCATCTTTATTCAGTATCCACTGCCTAGGTCTAATCACAATACTCAAATACCACTTTCCGGCATGAGGAGGGGCAAAACGTTGGTTCTCCTAACCCAGGAGAGAAGAAATGAATGACCACAGGTAGAGAATACTGGTGATACGGACAATTCATTTCTCCTAGGGAAGGACACTCTTACCTTTGTGATTGCAGTGAAAACCTTTTCCAGAATGGCATTTGGTGGGGCAATCTGTGGGCCACTGGCCTGAATGTTGAGGGCTATGGCACATGGTTTGGCTATAAACCTAAAAAAAGGGAAAGAGAAAAGAGACAGAAGTTATTTTTCTGTAGTTGTTCTTAATACCACCAGTTATACATTAGTCAATTACCTTAATAAAATGCTGGTAGGATTTTATGAGTGTACAATATCAACAGTGACATGAGTCACTACAAAGTAGCCTGAACTGTTTTTCTTCCTTTAGTTCCCGAGCAGTGATGTTAAAAAAAAAATCCTTTTCAATATTTAAATCCCTTGATCATCAGGGTATAATGAAAATTAACAGATGAAAAACATCTTGTATGATTCTGGGCCTTCACTATGAACAAAAACATGGAGCAGCGGCTGGGGCTATTCTGGCGAATGACATGGAATTTAATGGGCAATGTCCAAACCAGAGTTCAGAATTTGTTTCTTTGATGAAATTTCCTGTTTTCTGTTTATTTGCCTCTTCATCATAAGGTATAACAAAGGGTGTAAAAAGACATGATGGATAGCAAAAAATGAAAAATAAAGTAAAAGATTAATTTGGTGTAAAGGTCAAAGTCAACTCTTTCAATTTTTTGTTCTCCTCTTACCAGTTGGTTTCTCCCCAGCCTTCCTTATTTTCTCCATTCCCATTACTTCCAACATACTGTACACAAGTTCTCTTTAGGGTTCTATCATCATCGCCCCTATAACACACTGCTAGTCCAGAACATGGTCCTCTTTCTTCTAAATAGTGAAGACTCTAAACATTTCCTCTGTGAAACCCCAAGCAGAGGAGGACACATTTTTCCCCCAGGAAGGTTAATATAATCAGCACCTCATTCTCATTTACTAGACAGGCTGAGACTGAAATTAAAAGGCTTTGAGGGAAAGACGTGTATGTGACGAATGCCGGAGGGGTTTAAGGGAAATTAACTCAATCTAAAGGTTGAAGTCCTTGAATCCTTTGCGAGAATTCACTGTGTCACAGTGTGGACCTGCATGAAACACTAGGCAGTCAACAAATACCTGACAGAGGGACGAGTGAACAGATCAGCTGAAATACAATGGTAAATACTGTCTCTTCCAAGTGAGGCTGTGCATCACATCCACTCAGGGAAGGAGACTGACCATTCCAATACCAGAAGCCATTTCTCTAATTCCCGGTCCTTATGACGTCGACACTGCCCCCCACCCCAATGAGCAGGCTCCGCCAACCCCCCATTAGGTAGCTTCTTTTCAACTTATCCGGAGCAGGGAGCCAAATACTCAACTTCTAAGATTTAGACAATTGCATATGACAGGCAGAAAGAGTTAATCTCAAATCCTCGATAAGAGAAGAAAAAAGAGCAATAATTCTTCCCTGGTCATATGAAAATACAGAAATTTTATTTGTATTTATTCTCCAAAGAATTTGTGAATAATCTCTACCAGGGCATTTTGTTTTCCAAGAGAATATTAGATTCCAAATAAAACCCATTTCACAACTAGACAATTTTATCACCTTCCGTCATAGTACATTATAGAAAAGTGGGATTTTTTTAAAAAAATTGTCTCTGACGAAATAAATTCACAAAAGCTGTCTTGCACTGTGATTGGGGAGATACAGATAGAGACGGAGAAAGAGCAACATGGACGATGGGCTAGAACACCTAGAAATTTGTACAGTTGAAAGAAAGTATTTTCTTTTGAGCTTTGATGATTACCTGTACCAAGGACTGCTCACCTAATTACTTTTTTTTTTAATCAAAGGCAGCAAAAGATCAAACACCTATAAAGTACTTTCATGTACTATATTTGAAAGTAAATATAATAAGGATGTAAGCTTTGAAAAATCTTGGTCTTTGTTAAAAATCAGAGAAAATATTAAAACAATCCTACTTCTCAACTCTACTGAACAACATATATTTGTACTTTAAAGAAGAACAAAACATCTCTGCACAACACAAGAGTCATCTTTGCAGTCAATCTGTGCCTGCCTCGCAAGTACAAGATCCTGAGTTTAATGCTGGGTTCCAAAAATGGGTTCCAAAAAAAAAAAAAAAAAATGTACAATCTGAAAGAGGGGATTACTTTTTAAAGACATTTACAAAGTGTGCGTCTTTGTTCTAAACCATTAAAAATATGTCTTTATCTTCTCAGCCAGGTATGGCGACCCATGCCTGCATTCCTTGCACTCTGAAGCTGAGGGTGAGGCTGGAGGATCACATTTCAAGCCCAGCCCAGGCAATTTAGCATCTTAGGGAGGCCCTTTCACAAAATTGAAAATGAAAAAGGGATAGGGATGTAGCTCAGTGTGAAGGCTCTGGGTTCAATGGTCTAAAATTGTTCTTCCCAACCTCAGCATTTCCTACACTTTTCAAATATAGTTATGACGGTGATGCTGGATACAATACCTCCATATGATAACACATACACACAAAAGAATACAAATAAAGCTGGAGTCGAGTATGCTCAGTAAATCGTAGTAGTGTCAATATCCCGGTTGTGATATCACACTACAGTTTTGCAAAAAGACGTAGCTGGGTAAAGTGAATCTGCAATCTGACTGTATTCACTCTTACAGCTTTGTGAATCTACTCCTATCTCAATAAAGATCTCATGAAAAACAACTGGAAGGGGATTCTGTTTCTGATGTTAGGAACGAGTTCCTCACAAATCGACTTTTCATCTGTAACTTTGCACAATATCACACACACACACACACACACACACACACACACACACCAATAAGTTCCAAACAAAAAAATGAAAAAACTGCCTGTGGGCTCTGGAAATGGAAAGAAGCTAAGAGACTCTGGAAAGGAGTCAAGAGGTGGAACAAGTAACCAGCAAAAAAAAAAAAAAAGCACTCTGTCTGCTTATCTGCTTATTTATATATTTGTTTTGCAGTTCTGTTCTGAGTTCAAACAGTCACAGGTAGCAGGTATAATTCTGATAGATGATAGAAAAGCATTCTTTCTGGTTGTAGGAACCAGGGTAAGAAGCCTAAGGAAATCAAAAAAGAACTAGAGAGCCAAAGCAGGAAAAAGCCAGAGAAGCAAACCGTAATTCCTTGTATAAACCAAGCATGATTCCAACCAACTTCTGAACCATGAACATAAAAAGTGAAATGAATGCAGCTAAGGTTAAAGAAGTGATCGGAGACTGAAGTCACTGTTGGCTGCAGGAGCCACAGGCTACAACTTCAGTCAAAGCAAATGGTCTTAACAGAATAAACAACACTTTTCTGAGCAGGATACAACCTAGAGAGCAGATGAAGAGGGAGGGAAAATATGGCCCCACCATTTGGGGACTAACCATGCAGAAGAAAAAATTCAATGAATTTGAGCCACACAATCTGAAAGAGAACAAAATGGAAAAACAAACACACTTGGATGACCCATGGAACGATTTTTAAGTCTCACAATAAGAGGTACTAAGAAAAAATGCAATAGCCTGGGGAAGAAAAATAAATTATTAAAAAGAAATAACAATCTACAATTCCCCAACTCTGGTAGAAGACAAAACCATCCAACTCTAAGAACTCAAGAACTACAAAAAAAGTTCAAAGAAGAAAATCCTAGACAGATTAAAGATAAAAATAATGAAAGTCACCAGGAAAAAACACACGCTATATACAGGAAAAAATAAATTTGAAGTGCAATGTTCTTCTCACCAGAAATCAAGAAGGCTGAATGACACAAAGTAACATCTTTACTAGAACCAAAAACAAGAACAAAACAAACTGTCAGCCCAAGATTCTATATTCAGCAAAATCATGCTTCGGTGAATGAAAATGAAAGGGAAACAGGGAATCTATGGTTGCCAGACCCTTACTAGGATGGAGAGGTGAAAGGACACATATCACAGGAAAGAATGAGACATCAGAATTGGCAAATATACTGTATTGGAAAATACGGAAGACCTTGCAGAGTCTTTGAAAGTTAATCACAACCCATGAATAACAGATCAAACTACTAAATCTAGTTATAGGAAATATCCTATGTTCCACTCCTCCCTGTGCTGGAGGAAATCTAACTATCTATAAGTAAAATCTCAAGACAGAACTGGGGAGGGGTGATTGATTCAATCCATTACCGACTGCTGGCCCCTTCCTCCGATGCCAATGTGCACCCGGCATTGCGTGTGCCATGGCTGCCATCACAGCAAGTATTACAATGTAAAGCTAGCAAGAACAGTGCAGATGAGCCATGTAGAAGTGCATATTTAAAGCTGTATCTCCACACGTGCCCCAGTGAGTAAGCATTTGTGCAGATCTGTACTGGAAAATCTTATCTAAGACAACATTGTTTCAAGAGAATAAATATTTAGTGGGGCACCAAGACCAAGACAGGACACTGATATTTACGTATAATTACTGTGTGCCAAATGCTCTGTAATGCTTTATTCTTATTTTTAAAACCAACAAAGCTAGAGGTAGTATTAGCCCCATTTTACAGAAATATAAACTAAAGCTCAAAGAAGTTCGTGTCTGCTCAAGCTAGTTATTTAAAGCTAAATACCATACATAGGCTTGAGAACCAGTTGCTCCTAACATAACCTACAAGTGAAAACTAAATTTTATTCTCCCCCTAATATAAGAAAAGATAACTAATTAAAGATATGGCATTACTATTTGTGATATGGCCATATACTTTTGCTCAGTAGTCTTACATTTAGGTATTCATCAAAGGAAACCTGTCAAACAAGAAAAGGCAAAATGTAAAGATACTCACCTGCACCAGCTTAATGATTCACTAACAGATGACTCACTGAGCTCTAAGTGTTAGCGATGCAGCAGTGAACAGAATCCCTGTTTTTATGGGAGTGTACGTTCTGGTAGGAGGACATTTAAAAAATAATAAAGTGCTACGCACTTTTTGCTAGAATGAAAAGTGTCACAGAGAAAAAAATAAAACTCCTAAGTAAGAGAAGAGTAGGGAGAAGTTGCAACTTGAAACAGATTGGTCAGGGATGGCCTTGGTGAGAATAGTCAGCAGAATCCCCCTGATAGAAGCAAGAAAATTAATACATGAGGTGATATGTGGTGTAAGAACATTCTGGAAGGAAAAGCAGCCT